CACACACACACACACACACACACACACACTACCAGCTGGAGGTGGCCAAGTGACCGGATGGGAATGGGGAGAACATGCGATGGACACGGGTGAAGGCGAAGAGGGAGAGAGGGAGGAGATACTGGATGCTCCTGGCGGTAACAGTGCATAAATATCACCAATACACACAAAAGGAAGAGGAAGCTATAACTGATGATATTATCCAATATTGCCAGTCAATTGTTTCAACTTTGAGAATGTGTATGCTCACTCCTGAAGATGAATGAATGTATAACTCAATGAATGGCAAACCAAACCAAAAATCAACCAAGAGAATGAACCAATGCAGGTAACAAATGATCAGTGATTTAAATAAATCACAAGTCGAAATTAAAGAAATAAATGCCTATTTGCCAGAATTTCTCAGTAAATTGAACAGAATCTCCTGTGCTGTCTTGTGCTTCTCTAAACTCAGTGTGGTCATCCCACCATCTGGGTTCATTGACATTGTGATGGAGAGGTCAAACGGGACCATGGCAGCTTTTGTTTCACCTCGTGTCTTTGTTGACAACAGGAGGGACAGAGGAGGAGGAGAAGAAGGAGGGAGAGACAGGAGAGAAGATCCACACAGAGAGATGGAGAGACAACAAAAGACCCTGTTTGATTTTCTGTGAGATCTCTTATTTAGGAATGTCCTTCACATCAGCCGTGCTCACGTCAGACGTGGCAGAGTGGAAACAGACGGAGCACACGGCGGCCATCTTTATGTTTCTCTCCCCCGCGTGCCTGTGTGTCAGATGCACCTATGAGCCTGGCTGGGTCCTTGTCAATACCGAGAGGCTGCCTCATCACATGCCTGTCTGCTTTCCACAAAATCTGCAGCGCCTCTTTATCTGTACCTATGGACTACATGGGAACCATACGGAGAAAAGCTGAGAACGAGAGCGAGATGATCGGTCACCGCTGCTGGAGAAAGAGGAGAACAACCCTCCGGGGACAGACACTTAGCCGGTGGACGCCAGTCATAACGATGCGAGTGTGAAATTCCCTTTTCTCTTTCTCAAATATATTCACCCTCCCAGTTTAATTTTCCTTTCTTTCTTAGCCCCAAACACCAGCCACCGGCATGAGGGGGGAATGAAGCTGACTTACAGCCTCCATCATGCATCAGGGGGTGTCACATTATGCCAAATTATCATGCGGTTGCTAGGCGAGGGCCAATGGGGTGGCTTCAGGGAGGACAGGATGGATGGATAAGGAGCGTGGAGAGGTAAGAGGAGGGATTGGGAAGGGAGGCAGCGGGGAGGTGGGTGCATGTGTGCGAGTGAATGTAGATGCACGGAGAAGACAACAGGGCATAATGTGCACATGATAAACAAATCGCTATTTAAAAATAAAAAAACAAGCCTTTACTATCGCTGCCAGTACTACCGACTTTCCATAAATGAATTCATTGATAAAACTCCACTCAAACGAAGACCATAACCCCCCCCCCATTGGCCCTCGCCTAGCAACCGCATGATAATTTGGCATAATGT